AATAAGAGATAAGCACTTGTGATTTCAGCCCAAGATCAAGACATGGTTGTGACTGAGCATAACAGAATAAGCTCCTTTGTCAAGCTAATCCGACCAAAATGACCCCTTGCATTAGGGTCCATGTGAACTCTTGGATAGTTTGCATAACTGAAATGAGGTCTATAAATTAAACTAATATACATCTCTCCATGCAGTCAGGAAAACCATGGAAACCAGCACCTCTCTAACCTCTAATTACAGGGTGCAAGTGGCCCCAGCGCACTGCCACTGCGCTGGAATCCTCTCCACATCTGCTTCACGGCCACATTTCCTGCAGGCTGATCCCAGCCAGTGACTGCAGGGACACCAAGGCAGATCCATTCCCGGGAGACACAGACCTCCTCTGCTGGCCTTTCTCAGACTGCTCAGCAGTCAGGGATACTTTCAGGAACCATCTCTGCCTCTCCCCTTCACTCAGGGTCAGACTGGCATGGCAGATATTCCCAGCCTTCCTCATCTTGCTATTTTCTGTCATGCTGGCATTTCCCAAAATAGAATGCCTGAACATTTAATCCTGTTTTGGTGTCTGGGCTAATGTAACTAAACCAGCGAATATTCAGCTTTGAGATTTTTAACTTGAAAAATTAAACATACAGACACAAGATACATAGCTGTTACTGGATAATGGATGTCTCATTCATTTGAAGTTAAAAAGAAACAATTTTATATCAAATGAGATCCATTTCTATGGCTGAGTCTAATTTCTTACTGCCTACATTAACAAAGTATCATTTTATTTAATATGACTTTTACAAAACACGACTTCAACCAATCTGAAAATTCACCCTTTCCAAATGTCCAAAGCAGTTTTCTAATTCCTTATATGAAAACCCTGGAGATCATATCTATTTTGGAATTCTAAACTTTAAAAAAAAGAAAAGTAACATCACTATATTTGAACAACATCCAAGTGGCTCAAAGTAAACAGCCTCGAATAAAGAAGGAGGGTCGGCTCCCCAAACATGCGCGGTGTAGCCAGGCGACTTGGCAAGTGAGTAACAACCAAATGTTCAGTTTCCAGAGATTTTTGAGTTAAACCTGTTTTTTAGAGGTGGTGCTGAGAAGTGAACCCAGAGCGTTACACATATTAGACAATGTTCTACCACTGATCTACATCCACTAGCCCAAAGATTTTGAAGTTCAACAAGATGTGGTAAGAAATTGTGGGCCAGTTTGCCCACACTACAGAAAACTCAAGTCCTATTTTAAAAAATCAGACATACCTTTGCACTAACACAGAAGAATAAAGGCCACTCCACTGTGCAGATAAAGAAAGCACATAACACAACAACTTGCAAAGCCAGTGATGTATTTATACATGCACAGAGTGGGGTGAGAAAAAGCAGACACAATTCTCTCTCAGCAAGCACCCTACTTCCTGACCCTCTACATCCACAGCATTTTATAATGACTTCAACTCTGGTTAAGAAGTGATTTGGAAATATGGTGCATGGCTATTGATTCTGAGGTGAGGAAATTCTTAGGTGTGAATTTACTTGTGTTATTTATGAGGCAGAAAGAACAAATTCACCTCTATGAACTGCTGGTGGCAGATAACCAAAAACGTTCTGCATGAATTAGGAGTCAAGCAAGACAGTGCACCCAGGAAATTTATTTAGAAAAACCATGCTCATCTGCTCAAGGCAATAGACTGAGTATATGAAAAATACCAGCAAGAGCCCCTACGGCAGACCCCAGCCCAGACTTCCAGGTATCTCTTTCCACATCCGAGGAGCTCCTACTGCGACTCCGCAAGAAACACCCATTCCCAGACATCTCGCTCTTCTTTCGGGGCCTGGCGCTGCCACTCAAAAACACACTCCCTCCTCCATTATCTGAGCCACAGGGCAGGCCTGCCGCCTTCTGTCATTCCACTCCCTCTCAGCCCTGGCCGTGCTGCATGATAAAAGCACAAACAGAAATGGACAATAGGGAGAAAAACTAATTAAGGAAGGAATCTTTGTTCTCTCTGATTTCCAAACAGAAAAGCCAAGGGAGAAATTGTCTGAAATGGATAATCAAGTTAAAGAATCCTAATGAGGAAGTTGCAAATTCAATTCTAATATGGGAACATTCACTTTTCATTTTCTATATGCAGTACTGGTTTTTAAAAAAATAAGCATTTATTAACTTCATGGTTTTAAAAATCTCTTATTTTAATTTGGACATAATTGAAAATAAACTATGTATTTCTTCTTCTAAAATGTTAGTCAGCTATTACTCTCTTCCAAATCATCGTCACTGGAGGTACCAGGTGCTAACTCTGCTGCCACTTTAACAATCACGGAATTTGTATGCTGTTTTCTCAACCCCCAAGTCTGCAGCACTGTGCTCCATGGAGGACCGCCATGTCGTCCTCCCCCAGAGCCAAGCATAACTGTGCTTCCACGCGGGCTCTGAAGGCTCACACAGGTGGCTTCTCTACCCTGGCTTTCAGTTTAACTAGCACATCTGGCTGAGGCTGCATACGCATCACCTTCATGAGAGCAGGAGGCTGATGTGTACTGCCATCGTTCATCGTTCATCGTTCAATGGCCAAGGCTGAGCTCAGAGAAATGAGCTGTGACACCGCGGGGCTAAGAAATGAGGGTAGCATCTCCACTGAGGCCCTCAGGACTCCAGAGGAAAATTCCCTCCGGAACTGCTACAAAGCAGGTTACTTGTTAACCATAACCCAAATCTGGCTGTTTCATCCCTTTTGCGAGGATATTGTGTTCCCTCTGTTACAAGCCTGGCCTGCCCAGTCACTTGGCTAGCACATCAAGCTGCTATTTCTTCCAGTGCAAATACGATCAATAAATACCAAGGTTCTGGCTACCTCGTGTCCTTCTGTCATCCCAGGTCCTTGATGCACTGATATTCTGTCTCTTGCTTTTTTCTCTGATAGTGCACTGCAACACCTGGCAGAAGACGGCGTTCACTGCAGGGGCCTCTGGTAGTGCTCCAAGCTGGAGAAACCCCAGTGCCCCAAACACAGGGCAATCCTGCCCCCAGAAGTGCTATTTCCACAGGGGACAGATGTTAAGCAAGTGAATCTAACCACTGGATACAATTTGAGGTAAGCGCCATGGAGGAAACGTACAGCGCAACTAGCCTAGCCGTACCCTCAGAGCAGCACTCTGCAATGGACCAGTCCTCAGTCATCACTGCAGTCAGTATTAATTAGAGGAGCAAGGTGCTCTCCTATACACGGTGGGGTAACTGCAGAAAACGATGTACCTACATTTCAAAACGCTGAAAGAGAGGAGTTTGAAAGTTTTCACCATAAAGAAATGTTAAATGCTTGAGAATATAAATATGCATAAGCATGCATCAAAATATCACATGGTACCCCATTAATATGTAAAAAATGGATTTTCATTAAAATATGCTAATTATAATAACTGTAACTGTTTTATGTCAGTGAGATTATTTTATGTCAATAGGTCAGTGAGGAAAAAGGTCGGAATAAATGAGGGAGTACATCAGTGGTGGCCAACCTCGGGCATGTGTGCTGCAGTGGGCTCTTTGTATCACTGAAAGCTCTGTTGTGTTTTTCTTTTATTGCATGAGGGCTTTTTCTCCCACACTAAAAACTTAGTATCCAGGTTTAATTTCGGTACTGGTATTTTGCAATAAATGAGTGAATTTTGGGTTGCAGTTGGGGCATTCAGCCTCTGAAAGGTTTGCCATCACTGGATGGTTAATTACTGCCATAGAATTTCAAAAGCACTGCTGTGTTCTGCTGGAAAGGAAAGCCCCTCCTCACAGAGGCTGAGAGACATTCCAGAGCAAGACAGCCATCCCATTTCCCAACCAGCAGAACCCTAACAGAAGGATGGCCTAGAAACAAATGCAAGGCTTGTATTTGCCAAAAACATGCCCTCTATTTTCCAAGACAGATCTAATTTCACAGACTTCCTCTCTTTGTGCCCACAAGGCACTGAAGTAACTTGGAAACTCAATACTTTGATGTTTAAACCATATCCAAACTACTCTGGAAGCTGGAAGCTGGAAGCCTAGTCACTCCAAGCACCCTGTTTGTTTTGGAAAACACAGCCAGTGTGTTCAAAAAGCTCTGAGCAGTAAAACGAAACATCCTCCATCAAGACCTGCTGCGTTAAACCAGAAACCCCATCAGCAGGTGCAGCCAGGCTTCTGAGAGCTATAATCAAGTATTCTTAGATTCTATAAAACAGGAGCCCATAAAATGGAACTGCACTAGATAAAGGTGGGCATTTCATCAAGACAACCTACAACTTGCAACTTGCTTCTCTTCCTACCAGAAGTGATAATTCCAAAAATATTATAAAAATCCTCTGAACTCAATATTGTACAAGCCTCTTCACTCAGTCAAGAAAAAACTCCTTAAATTAGAATTCTAGGTTCATGGGTATCTTGAAATAGCTCACAATGTAAAAGATATCAGTTGATTTATTATACAAAATGAGAGCCATGTGGAATTCAGAGTGGTGCTAATGAGACAGCCACTCTTTGATGGGACTTTAACTTGGTTTCATTTTAATTTTTGCTGTGACAAAATTGTTACAATAGAAAATCATGTTCCATTAAGGAGACGGCAAATCAATGCACTTGTGCTCCTGCTGCCCACTCCATGCCACAGCAGTCCCTGTGTTCCCGGTGACAGACGAAGCCTCAGAGGACACTATACAGAGAGTTCCAAGTAGCCACTGTACATCACAAGAGGTAGCACAAGAGTCAGAGGCTACTGCCAATGCTCTGTGGGGTGCTTGCCTTTTTCAAAATGCACAAGGCAACAATGTGACAAAAAAAGGTACCCACTTGACTTAAACAATGGCTACTTATAAAACATGTCTGGTACTCCTTTAAGAAGTATGGATGGAATGAGAAGGAAAATAAGGGCAAAGCCACCATCAAGCCTGTTTCCCTGTGATTATCTTCCTCAGTTTCCATTAGTGGTACAACAAACAGACAAAAGATGACATGAGCCCATCACTGACCTTATGAAGAGCAGGAGCCAAGACCGGAACCAAGAATCCATTGTAGATGTAATTGACAAGCTGACGGCGAATCAAGGGGTGAGCCACCTAGGATGAAAACAGACATCAAAAAGGTAGAGTTCAACCATTTTTGTGTACATCCTGAATTCAAAAAGCAGATCTCAATTTTAGCCACTTATTTGGTGCTTATAAGTAATTATTTTTCTAAACAACTTATTCTAGAATAAACTGACTAAAGTTAGAATTTCAAGTTTAGGGAGAAAAATGGTAATTTTAAAGAGTCTCGGGGGAAAAGATAATAGATTCATAAAAACTGGAAAGTATAATTTTGGCCTCTCAACTTGCTCTTAATTTGTGGCTAATATTTTAAAAAGGATATAACTGTTAAAATAGATAATACATTTATTTTGTTAGTAAAAAGAATTTCCTCATTTTGAAGATGCACTTTCTTGTATTTATTTATATTGGCAAAGAAGGGGTTTACAAAGTATTTTTATAAAAAAGAGTGTTCAAAAGCAAAAAACATTATTGGAAGTACAATATTTCTCATACTTGATTTTCAAAATATACTTAGCATCAGTAATTCTTTAGTAGTATCTTTTGTAAGTCACCTTTCTAGTAGTGCCCCAATAAAAGTTCATAAAAGTATTTGGCTTCAATTCCAGTATACTATAAAATAGGTAATTTCTTGTCCTTTACTAGATCCATTAATTTACCTCTGAGTATATGAGAAATAGAGACAGAGAGACAGAAATGTTTCAGTTTGTGTCTGAATGTTCCCCCAAAGCTTCACGCAATTTTGGGGCTTTTTCAGTGATGGTTGAATCTAGTGTGTGATCCCCTGTATGAGATTAATAAATCAGTCCACTGATAGGACTGGCACCACCCTAATCTCAGTAGACTAGATACAACGTAAGGGATAAAAAGAGGCTCCTCTTTCCCTGCCTCTCTTGTTGCTTTTGCTATCTTCCACCACCATAAGCCAGCAGATTATGGACTGAACTATCTATAAACTGCAATCTAAATAAACCTTCCTCCTTTAATTTTGGGTGCCAGGTATTTTGTCTCAACGATGAGAGAAAAGTAATGGGGAGGAGGGGAGGGGAGGGGAGTGGAGGGGAGGGGAGGGGAAAGGAGAGGAGGGGAGGAGAGTGGAGGAGAGGGGAGGAAAGGGGAGGAGAGGGGAGTAGAGGGGAGGAGAAGAGAGGGGAGGGGGGAGGGGAGGGGAGGGGAGGGGAGGGGAGGGGGGAGGGGAGGGGAGGGGAGGGGAGGGGGGAGGGGAGGGGAGGGGAGGGGAGGGGGGAGGGAAGGGAAGGGAAGGGAAGGGAAGGGAAGGGAAGGGAAGGGAAGGGAAGGGAAGGGAAGCACAGGCGAACAAAGTAAAAAGCAATTTCTGAGGAAATGAGGCTAGATGTTTAAATTACTGGTAACTCCCTGTCTGTACATTTGGAGAAGAACTAACAGTGGTTCTATCATTTTTATTTCTATACACTTCCACAAGAAAATGTTGATAGACTATAATATTAAAGGGAAAATAATTTTAAATGTAATCCATTTATTTTATATATAAATAAAAGTCCCTTAGATGCAGCGATAAAATGAGATGAAAACTAAAGTAATTTACTTAATATTTTCTTCCAGAAGCTATTCCTTTATTTGGTACATAAACAGATTATAACTAACATTTTTTTATCCCACGACTACTATAAAATACCCAATTTCTTAATAAATTCAATAATGGTATACTGAAATAAATATTCTGGATGAAACTATAGTCAGTCTTTAAATATATATATATTTATATATAAAATTGGGTTTTTATTGAAAACAATGCCAAGAAACCTAAAGGTAAGAATCTAATCAAAAACTCAAATATACAAGAGTTCAGTGGCTGTTTATTTGCCTCAATACAGACCAATTTCAAAGCAAATGTAATTTGTGTTGCTAAGAAGATGGTTAACTTCTTCTAAATTCAATTGGGATAACAATATTCTTTATGTAGTATGCACCATTAAGCAAAATAAAGTTTTTCCTTTGTAGACTCCCAAGAAGACCTTAAAGTAAAAGTGTTATAATTTGAAGTACTTAAAAGCCTAAAAATACCTATTTAATGAGTCAAACAGTGAGTTTATTTTTGATAGTTAAGTAGATAATCAAAGCAGAAGTAACACTTTGTACTGACAAGATAATCTATTTTTCTCAGTTCAAACTTCTCAGGAACCTACAAGCTAACGTTTTACTCACTGAAGGACATGTAGTGGGCTTAAAGCAAAGTATCAATATTCTACATGTATCAAGATTAAAGGGAACGCTTATGAACACTAGTCCCTGGCGAGGTCTGGGCGAGGAATGGGCCACGGCAAAGGGAAGGTACACTGTGCTCAGATACCTGAATGACCGCATTGCAGAACTCCAGGGAATTCATGAACTGGACGAGGGCGGGCAGCAGGAGCCAGTCGTCCTTCAGGAGGCAGTGCCACTCCTCGCCTTTCTCTTCCAGCTTCGTGGGCAGGGAGGAGTACAGCCCACTGAGGCCAGTTGCAAGCACCTGTGTTTAAAATAAAACTGTAGTACTCTTTTCTCATATTTGTGACCCACAATTAACAGCTCACGGGCATTTCCACATGATTACTCCAAAGACTGAACTTCGAATAACATCGGGTTAATGGTATTAGAGGAGCACTTGGCTAGGAAGGATTCAACAGGTAGGAAGGACCGCGCTGGCAGTCGGAACAGAAGTCAGGGCTCCTGCACATGTGGCTGACAGGGCCTGCTCAGGAATGGTGTGCCAGGCACCACAGTGGGCTGGGACTGGGGAGGTGAAATGGGTAACACAGAGCCGAGAAAAAGCATGATTCATGTCCCCCAGGACACTCATAGTGGGGATGAATTCATAAATAATATCACACAATACAATTCAGTGACCATAAACACACACGAGTATTTCAGTGCAAATCCCTGGGTCTACGGGAGGGTGTCCCAGACTGGGACAGAAGCAGCACAGTTAAGAAGCATGCGTAACTTTATGGGAAAGGCTCTTTGGAATTCCTTGTACGTTTCAGGCCAAGACTGACACGTTTTCAGGTTAAAACACTTCTCTGTACATTACCTCATCTGAACTTCACAAGTACAGCAAAAAGAAAGAACAGGAGGTCAGTTCAATGTGATGACAGGAGTCCAAACAAAGCTGAGGTCAGTCTACGCTGACACATCAGGAGGGGGGAAAACAGAAGAAAATAACCTGAGCCTCATGCGTGAGGTAAGTGTGAGGGCACTCTAACCATAACATCTATATTAAACCAAAATTCCCGAGGTTTACTGCCCCCCTGACCCTAATAATACACTGGAAATATTTGGGCTTGATCTGTCAGAGTAAATGAGCATTCAGAACTGTTGTTATCCAATTTGGCCATTAGCAAAACGGTGATGCTCCTCACAAAGGAGAAGAAACACCATGGCAAGCGCTTGTGAGTTTCTCCTACAGAGTGTAAGACCAAGGGAAATAAGGAATTCCATAAGAGCAGAGGCCTCCTGATGGGGAGGGAAGCGAGCAAAGCAGCTTAGACACCCGGACCTGTCAGACGTACACGGAGTGGAAAGAACTGGCACAGACTGGACACGAGGAAGTTAGCTACAAAAGACACAGGTTGTGATGAACTCAACTGAGATGGAAAAGTCCAAGAAAATATACTGCGGTAGGCCCAGAAAAGAAACACAGTTGTACTTACTGTTTTCACAATCTAAAAGAGAAAAGTAGCAACTATAACAGCATTAGAAATGCTCAGAACAAGCAGGGCACTGCAGCTCATATCAGCACTGAGGCGGGGAACAAGGCAGGAGGATAACAGAGTGTGAGCCCAGCCTGGACAATCTGTAGACTCAGCTTAGACCAAGATTCAAAATAACAAACGGGTTGGGGATATAGCTCAAGCTGGAAAGTTCAATCCCCAGGAGGGAGGGACAGAGGGACACAGAACACGCAACAGGAAATACACAATGCTGTGGTTCTTAAACCAAAGGCTCTTCATTCAGACTTGGGGTGGGAGGTGGTAACAGTGGGAGATGTTCTCAGAAGTTCTGTCCACACTGCTAAAGAACAAACAAGGGTCGTCTAGAAAAAGAGTGGTGGAAGGCAGACTATTTCAGGCAGAGCAAACATCACATACAAAAGCTCAAAGGAGAAAGAAAAGATGGTACCCTCTGGAATTAGAGAAGCATAGTACTGTTAGAACAAAAATGACAGGTAGAAACAGCAGCACGGTAAATAAGAGTGAGAGCCTGCAGAGCTCTACAGGCCAAAGTAAAGAGCGCGTGTGGCCCCTAAATGGAGAGCCCAACTGACAGCTATGTGAGTCTGACACTTGGAACAGCTCTGGGATGAAGTGACCGTCTGGAGTCATCCATAGGTAGATGGTGCATCAAGCCACAAAAACCAGAGGGAAGGAAAGGGAGAGAGCGCGAGAGGTATGGGATAAGATATAGTAACCCACAGAGCCTGAGAGTAGATACAGAGAGACAGAGGTGGTGTGTTCTGGAAAAACCTTTCCTCGACAGCTTCTGCTGCCTCTCCTTTTCCCCTGTCCTCCCCCTCAGCACTCTGTGTAGCCTTCTATGTAGCAGTCATCGCTTGGGCATTTATGAGTTTACTGTCCGTCTCCTCTATCTCCCCCAATCTGATATGCTCGATCCAGTCCTTGCTGGAGAAACTGGTGAGTCAGGTGTGCAGAGCTTCACATCCCAGAAGTCCTTCCTCAGAGTGACACTCAAACTCCGCCACAGGAGGACAGGCCTGGGGGGCTCAGCACAGAGAAATCAGTCAGAGCCATGGGAGGAGTGCCGAACGGTTACAAGACAGTACAGGAGCCCACTCCGCAGGATAAAGGGCAGCGAGAGAAACGGGTGAATTATGCCAGTACTAGAGAAATAAAAAGATGATAAACTCTGTTCTATTTCCCAGTAAACTTTATCCAAGTGTATGTTTACTGACTCATTAAAAGAATACGAAGCATTTAACCTCATGACAGGCATCGTGAATGGGAAACACAAGAGTAAGTAATACCATACCTTTTTCTCTTTTCAACATCAGGGCATCTGAGGTCCCAAAAGAAAGTGTTCCCTCTTTAAAGTACTTAACTCCTTGTTAACACACCCAAACAAATCACTTTAATTCCAATTTTGAATGTGACCCAAATGAGTTGCCTATTATAAATTAGAAACCTCTGGCAAAAGAGAACAGAGTCCAGAAGTTCTCCTTGAAGAGAAATCTAATCTTGATGCCACATTTTTAAAATCAATTACATTTGCTAACTCATGCTAAATTAACCACAGAACAAAGGGTTTAATTCTGCATACTCCTGGTTTCTTAGCCACTTTGAGGCTTTGAAGATGAATTCATAAAGACAGGCTTAATTTGTCTGACTAAAAAGCTGAGAATAACTATTCAGTATATCAATATAATTACAGCAACATTAATTTTCAAATTACATACATCAGTGACAGTAATTAAAAATAACACATACCTAACACTCACTTTTTAAAATGACTCTTCTGAAGAGGGCAAGGCTAAGACAGGAAAGGAGGGAAGCCTGCCCCAACAGGATTCCGCCTGCCCAGGAGGTGGCACCCTATGCAAGGTGTCTGCCGGCTGGGGAGCGCCGCCATCACAAGGCGGGCGAGGGAGCTCTCTCTATCCTCCTCAGGATGGCAAAGAAACATGGGAGAAAATGTTCTGCTGAATGAAGAATGCACATCATCTCAGGAACAAGATCCCCGATCTTTAGCATCTCCACCCTCCCTTCTCACGCTCTGGTCGGAGTTCAGATTCTGTCACCCAGGTGACCCATTTCCAGAGCAAAGTCTGTGGGCCGGGCGCAGGCAAGGCTGGTGCTGGGATGAGAACAGGGAACAATTCAGATGTGGCGGCAAGCAGAAGAGCACCAGAAGGTAACACACGTGAGAAAGACAACCGCCACCATAAGGAATACAGCGAGTGCCATGGGGACCGGACCAGGAAAAAAGAATAACAGTAAGTTTTATGTTTGAGGGCTCAACAGCACAATCTACTGTACTTTTACATTTTAAACTTAAAAGTGAAATTATAAAAATCTAAGTATTTATGTTTTATTAAAACTAAAATACCACTCCATTTTTAGCCTCTTACTGATTCAGACTACAAAAAACAATTGTAAAACATTATATCCCCAACACAAAAAGTGATCATCTAATGCCGATCATTTATTTTCTAACAATATCCTTAAAAGGAACTAAATGTTATTAAATCACATGGATAACAATAGTCAAAAAGCAAAGAGCTTTCCTCAGAGCACTGAAGCATGGTAGGTGTTGAAACCATGGGTTTTCATGTAAGACAAATGTTCCAATGTTTCAAGTCAGTTTCTTTCTACCACTGACAGTTATTACAGCTCTCTAAACTTCAGTTTCTTAACTGAGTTGCTGCAAGGATTAAAGAAAATAATGTGTGTATTTAAACTAGGATAATATTTTACATATAATATTTCCAATAGAGAAAGGAAAGCTGACATGTAGAGTATAAACAAGCAACACTGATCTTTAAACCAGTTGACTTTAACAAAAATAAAGTTTTTAACAGATGGCTTTAATCTGAAGCTAGCAGCAAAACACCTGATGGAGACTGTTTGCTACAACTTGCCAAAATAAAAAGCCTCATAAATTTTGGGTATGGGATAAATAACTTCCTATCTGCAGTTGTATAACTAAAGATTACTCGCTTCGATTTACATTTCTTGATTTATATTTATCAGGCTGTTTTCTACATGTGCCAACATATAACAAATGAGCTTAACCATCAATATTGGTTAAAAAAATCAAGAGAAGTGATGGGGCCACTTAGTCCCCCACCATTTGTGGGCACTGAGCTGTTCTCCAGGGTACCCTCACTCTCCTCCTTTCCTTGTGAAAGTACATCTTGGGAGCAGCAGCAGCAGAACCAGCCGGCTCTTCCTATCCTCTATGATGATAAAAGTTTCCAAAAGGGTCCAATTTCCTGAAAGAGTCATTACTCTTCCAACAGCCTGATGCTAACACACTTTGACAATCATACTAATTACAGAAAGCTTTTTGTCAATTGTGGCCCTTAGTTGGATGGTTAATAGAGTATGCTTTTATCTTCAAAATAAACTGGCCCTTTTTTTAATTATGTTGTCAGATGTAATTATAGAAAACTGGGTACAAATGAGATTATGGAATCTATCCTCAGGGGCAACTTAACACAATGCAGCTTGTCTTCCACTCTAGTAAATAAGGTCATCTGAAGATACTGTTTTCCCTCTGATTCTAATGAACAATGTAATGCTACAAAACATGTTTTTATAAAAGCAACAATTACTCAGTGAAATCTGCTTGAAACAGTTAGTAGAAATCTAAACATTAAAAATATGCCCCATCCTTATTCTGATACAAAGTTTTAAATTATGAAACATTACAAAAATGTAAAGCATAATAAAACTGAAACTCACTGCCAAGACAGCACAGACTTTAAGATATTTCCATAATAACTTCAGGGTAATCTGTATTTTTTTAAAAAGTAAAACACCAACAGGAATGGTAGTGCACACCTGTAATCCTAGCACTCAGGAGGCTGAGGCAGGAAGATTGCTGCAAGTTCGAGTCCAGCTTGGGCTACATAGTGAGTTGAAGGCCACCTGAACTACATAGCAAGACTCCAGTTCAAAAATAAAATAGTAAAACATGACAGATTGGGGTGTAACTCATTCACTGGGAGAGCACATACTTTACGCACACTAAGACCTGAGTTCACTCTTCAGCATTAAAAATGTAATAGACAAGAAGAACTAAACTCTCTCCATTCCTATTACCATTCCTTTTCTTCCTTCATCCCCCCAAAGAAACTACAGTTTTAAAATTAGTACAAATTATCCCTGTGCTTTAATACTTTGCCTGTATAAATATCCAAAAAAAGTAGGCACTAAGACTCTGGGTTCTAAAACTTTATGTAAATCTTATGCAAATACTAGCATACCTTAGGCAACCTTTAGCTGTTTACTAATTTTTTAATATGTTCTTAAGTTATTCATCTTCATACATGCAGGTGTAGTTACATGCTGATATAAGTGACTTTTTCACTTGGAAAGTTGAAAAGCATTGTGTTAATGTATGAATAAACTATCACATGCTTTCTTTCATATGTTTTTCTTCAATTGCACACCCTTACAAACAAGTGCCAGATTTCTCTAAGATACATGTTCACACATAAAAGTGCAGGATCATATTGGCATGCAAATGTTCAGTACTAATAAATATTGCTACACTGCTTTCTTAAGCTATTACACCAATTTATATTCTTAAAAGTTCTTGTTCTTTCCATACTCTTGGTATATATGCAGATGTCTAACAGCCACTAGAATGAGTATTAACTGCTGTGTCATTGTGAATTCAGTTTGCATTTCCTAATTTGAAAGAAGATGAGCATATTTTCCTATGTTTACTAGCTTTGAGTTTCTTCTGGGGTTTTCCAATCATAGCCTCTGCTCACTTTTCTTTTTTTTTTTTTTTTTTTTTTAATTTTGAAAGTATACAACAGAACCAGTCAGAATAAAGCCAACTAAGATCATACAGTGAAATTGGTACAGAACTTCACAGCATGTTACCGGGATAACAGTAATAGGTATCATAGTACATTTTGTTATCTTGGAAGGGCTGCAGTCTGCCACCCTGCCTCAGCTTACCAGGGAGGGGAGGTGCTTGCTTGGCTTCCCAGAGTCTTAAGTTCCAACATGGTGTGGATCACAGGAGACCCTGCTGGTTCTCCCTCTGAAGGGCTGCAGTGGGCCACACTGCTGCCGCTTACCAGGGAGAGGAGGTCCCTCTGCTCACTTTTCAAGAGGCTTATTTTATTGTATCAATTTAAACACTAAAACTATTTTTCATATTTTGGCTAATTGTTCAAATACAGTCACATGCATTGCAAATATTTTCTCTCAACCTGTGTTTTTGTTCTTAATTTCAGTCTATTCTTTCTAATGGTAGGTGTGTCTTGAAATTTTATCTTTTATGCTCACAGGTCCTTGTGTCAACACTGCCCAGGTGAAATCCTGACTCATCATTTTAGAGTCGTGAACTTGTGTAAATTTACTTAAATGTCTTTGGGCCTTGATTTCTTCCTCTATAAAAAGTAGAAATAACACCAGCACCTACAGTTCTGAGGATTCACTGAATCAATACATGTAAAGCACCAAGAACAACTCCCAACAAGGTATTGGTGTTATCACTCAGTTATCTCAGCTATTCTTGGTCCTTTAACACTTTTAAATGACTCGTAACATCTGTTTATTATATGCCATAAACATTCTATTGGAATTTTGTAGATGACATTAACAGTCTACAAACTGTCCCTTTACGATGGAGCACCCCAACAGTTGCCTCCTTAAACAAATAAGCATCATCAGTAATGGGACAACCTAACTAACACAGGCCTCTTGCTGTAACAAGCAGCATACACTTGTAAAATATTCTGCACAAAAATATTTAGCCTAAATTTAACTAAATGTGAAAACCTAACTCAACAGGAAATACAAGGAATAGAAATAAGTCAAACTACACAAGAAACAATCAAACAAACCCTAAATGTGAGGTGTTCTGTAAGACATTGGCCTGGCCCCTTAAAAAGTCAATGCGAGGGGAAGAAAAGCACCAGGCTGTTGGATGTTAAGAGAGACTGTAGAGACAGGACATCCAGATGTACACTTTGTACTAGATTCTACCTGGGGGGAGGATGACTGTGCAAGTAACTGTAGGCACAGTGGGTGGACTGGCTGTTAGACCATGCCAAGACATTACTACATAACTTTCTTAGGCACAGTAATGCTACTGTACCTGAGAATGAGAAAGTCATCTGCAGGAGAGACACACTAAAGCATCTGACATTTACAACGTAGTTTCAAACAGTATAGCAAAAAAAAAAAAAAAAAAAAAAAAGTACAGATGAAAAACATAACAAGGAATGCCAAGATACTGGTAATTTTAAATCTAAGTGATCAATATATAGCATTCATTTTAGTATTCTCACAAATAAAAACTTATAAAACATAAACTGCACTAAGCAGGAATGTTCCATCTACGTATGATCTACAAACTACAGATAAATGTTCCATTTATTTAGATTTTTTATGCTCTTCAACAATAATCTTTTCAGCCAAAGACATTCAAATATTAGATTTATTTTGAGACACTTTATGTTGCTTTTGTAAATGTTACCTTTTTAAACTGCCTTTTGCATACTGATCAAGTAAATCACCTTAGTATTTTGACGATCTGTTACAACGCCTGCTCTCCTTTAAAAAAGAACTACACAGAACAACTCAAGCTAAAAAGCAAACCTTATTAGCTCCCTCCTAAAGCTGCCTTTTTCTTCACTGTTTTGGAGTAGCTTAAGGTTTACAGTAAAGTTCAAAGAAAGAGAGATATTCTGTGTACCCTAACCCTGCACAGGCACAGCCCCTCTCAGCACCACATCACCCCACCAGATTGGGACATGTTGGGGTCTGGTTTTTGTTGTTGTTGTGTTGTGTTTTTACACCACTGACAAACCCACAAGTATATTAACATATCTTCACCACCCAAAGTCCATGATTCAATCCAGGGTTCACTCTTGGTGCCACACATTCTGTGCATTTGGATGAATGAACAAAGACCTGTATTCACTATTACAGTATCATACAGAGTGTTCTCACTACCCTGCCTAAAGCCCTCTGTGGTTCACCTATTCATTCTCTCCCTGTCCCAATTTGGAAAAAAATATGCTATGCTTGCCATGGTTTTGTGTTTTTCAGAATGTCATACAGCTGTACTCATGAAGTCTTGTTGGATGGGCTTCTTTCACTTAGTAATACCATTTAAGGTTCCTCAATGTCTTTTCATTGTTTGATAGTTCATTTCTTTTCACTTGAAAAATATTCATTGTCTGGATGTACAGTACTAGCTTTTATTTACCCACTGAAGGACATTTTGACTGCTTTTAAGATTTGGCAATTATTAATAAAGCTGCTATAAACATGCATGTGCAGGTTTTTATGTTTTTACTCCTGGCTAAATACCAAGGAATGTAACTGATAGATCATACACTAAGAGTATGTTTAGTTTTGAACAAAACTACCAAACTGCCTTCTAATGTTATTCCACCAGTAATAAACGAGAGTTCTCATTTCTCCATACCCCTAACATCATTTGGTGTTGCCAGAGGACCCTGCACACTAAATGTTAGTGGAACCACCTCCCTACCGCCACACGCCCCTGTGACCAACAACCAAACACACTCTGCGTATATTTCTAAGTGTCTTCTCAGGTGCGTGTTTCAAACATAATTAATTAAAATGAGTCTAAATCTATCTATGGCAACTTGGTTGGCCTGTTTCAACAACACTAAAACTAAGGAATCTCACACATTGGACCACACATTGGTTCATACTGTTTGTAAAGATTGTAAAAAGAATAGACTGGAACTACGAAGTAGAAATGTTCACTGAGCTGGGAAAGTATTGATAGCTGTTGCTCAGCCAGCAGAAGACAAGAATCAACAAATCTGTTCCCAAAAAGGAACTAACGGCAAAAGATACCGAGGGTTCCAAGACCTCCCACAACTCCCAGACTGCCCCCATTCCTCTCTGGAACTGATCGGGCCTGGGTTGCTATAATTTCTTCAAAGAACCTTGCACCTTATTTCTCACCACATCATGTACATATTAAGGTATACAGCATCTTTCTTTTTACATGAAATTGTAAATATGTATTGTTTAAAATAAAATCAATGCTTCCAATCTATAACTAATGGCCATTATCTAGATGAAAAACAAACTAATTTGTGAAACCAGTTCTGAAGGGTCTTACCACGTGCTTTTATTCATTAGAATAAAATGAACCTAAAAAGCTAAGAATTCAGAAGGTACAAGCTTTATCAATCTTTCAGGAGTTAGTCTCAGAAAAAACTAAAATCGTGCCCAATCCAATAAAAATAAGCCAGGAAAGGTGATATATCCAGTTTCATCTGCTGGCTTATTTTAAACTGACATTGCTCAGCTAAGTAGCATCTCAATTTAGACTCCTCATTTCCTGCAAAGATATCCTCCAAACATCTTCCTATAAAAGACAAAACTGGAATGAAAGGAATAAAAAGTATTTATAATCAGCAGAAAAAAATGTCAAAGTACAGAAAACACAAAAGAGTGGGACTTACTGGACAAAAATAGGTGTTCTCCACAATGTGATGGGCCACCATGCTGTTCTCAGCAGAGAGAGACATGATAAACAGCAAGGCGTCCCGAGCCTGCTGGCCAACTGTGCCTTCACGATGAATGAAGGGAATCAAGAGGGAGAAGATAAGGAAGTTGGCAGCCCCTTGGTCCTCACTAGTGTGGAAAAAGAGTTCCAGGATGGATGGATCTTTGGCAAGGATGGAACAGAGCTGATTGAGCAGGACAACCAACTTCCTCTCCACGGCAGGAGTGGTCGTCCCCGAACAAGAGCTGAGCAACATCATCAGAGGTTTCAGAATAGGCTTATGATGAAGCAGAGGCTGGTGTGACTGAGTGACCAACATCTCATACATCTTTAGTTGCTCGATTTTAGTCTCATCAGTAAACTCCCGCCTCAAACTCCAAAGGAAAAGCTTCTCCATTATGTTCTCAGAGACCACAAACTCCAAAATTGGCCCCATTGCAGCGTCCTTGGCTTCTTCTTCAATTAGCAGGAAGAGCATGTGCTCTACATAGTTCTGCACGGCGCTGGCCTCATCTGGAGGGATGGCTCCGTATCTTGCCTGGGAGTTCTTCAAGGGGTCGTGCTTCTCCAAGATTTTTACAACCTGTAACCAGATTACACATTCATCATCCATCTGATGTTTACCACAATCACAAAAACACACCACACCTGTCATCACCAAAAAGGCAGGAGCTATTGCTCACATCTTAATAAATAAGTGAAAATTCTACTTCTCTGTTTTTCTCTTTCTCATAAAAACAAAAGGGTTAAACTTAGAAACTGTTTCAACATGCTCATTTGTAATACTTACAAATTTTGGCAGCCTAAGCATCAAAGAAAATAGCATGGTTATGTAAATTAAGCTACGTGAATTCTTTTATTACTACTATTAAGACTATTGAGCAACATGAAAAATTATAAGTGCTGTTTAAATAAAAAGCTCTTTATGTTAGATCCATAATTATGAAATATGTCAAAAACATACATGAAAACAGGTAAAAAGAAACAGACAAAACTATTAATCACTTTTGTGTTCAAAGGAATGACAAGTTCTTAAATTTTTTTATGAACTGTCAAAAATATGTTGCTTTTTAAGCTTTAAAATACATAAAACTATTAAAAAGAAACCCGACTCCCTGCACTCTCATATAAAAGGAGCTGCTTGGAGATTTCAGAGGGGAACGCAGCTACCCACACTCCCCTGACAACACAGTATCACTCCCTCTTCTGCTTGGATGGGCACCACTTCAACCAAGCATGCAGCAACAGGAAGAGGATGAAAGGAGAGACGGATGAGCGAGAGCCAGAGAAAGCTTAACACACTGCACACACAGACGCGCACACGGGAAGGATTTGGATGCTGCATTCTCCTTAGGCTGAAAACATCCTGAGATAACAATTACAAAATAAATCCCTGAAATTTGAAGGGATGAAGAGTTTGGAAATGGTGATGATTATGAATGTAGTCAATGCTATTAAAATATATTCAAAATACTTAATATATTTTGTTAAATACACCAAATACTACAAAAACAAATCAATTAACAGTTTTTAAAAACTCCTAAATAGGTCATGTCACAGCCCTGTTCTACTTCTCTCCCTTTTCATTTCTGGCATTTGAATTCTTCCCTCTCCACCCTTGAGACTTAGTACTCCTATTTTGGAACCTGAACATTTAAACAATTTTATGTCTCAACTTCCACTTAACTTTATAATGTGAGATTTCTAATAATTTCTATTCAATTTACTGCCTTTAAAATATACACATATGATAATTTTAAGCAACCAAACACATGATTTATGACTTTATCCTTGTTCCTTTTCGCCTTTCTGAACAGCATGTAATATATGTCTTCTGCATTACTCTCCTGGCCTGGTTCCATGATGTGCTGCTACATGTCCTTTACCTAGGTGAGGGTTTTTGCAAATCACTGGGAAAGCCAGCAAATACACAGTGCTATTGTCAGCATGTATGAGCAATAAGTCTCAGTTTCTCTTCTGTCAAAAGCAGAACAAAAGGAATCTTTATCGAACAGGAAAGACAGAATAAATAGATTTCCACTGAATCTAGAAGTGCTATCAACTTCCATTTTAAAAAACTGCAAAAAATTATAAATTCCATAAAAAATGCTGTGTTACAAAGGAAAACGTCACTCCCAGACCTAGACTTGACATTTTTTAGTAAGAAAGGCCTTTGGCAGGCAACCATGCAGCAGCGCATGGCCCTATGACAAGGCCATGGCATAGCTACTAGACATCCTCTTTTTTGTCACATGGCTGCTACAGATGCACCACTATCTTACATCTTTACCCAGAAGGCCTAATAACCTCCCTGGGAGTAGACCTGGCCCGCTACTGAAAAGCCCAAAGAGGGCTTTTTTGGGCTTTTCAGTAGCTCAAACAACGCTGGTCCAAGAAGGATCTCTACCTCAACACAGCCCTGAAAGTTCCTAACATCAAGGGTCCACATTCTAAAGAACAGATGTGCAATGTGCTTTATTGCTGAGAAAGACAGAAAGATAGACGGATAGACAGACAGACAGACAGATATCCAAGAATCAAACTCAGGACCTAGCCCTCGCCAGGCAGGTGCCGTACCACTGAGCTATATCCCTGGCCTGAATTCTATAATTTTAAAGTCCATGATTGAGTTTACTCATGAGAGCTACAGTGTCTTTACAGCTAGTCCTTCAGGTAAAATTTGTGTTCAGATTTGTCTAAACTCTCTGAAACTGGAATTGTACCTTATACACTGATAGTAGCATGCTAAAATTGCTTCTGTCTGAAAAGCTATTCTAGTATTATGTAACAGAAGTTATGATACTACTCCAACCCCTTGACTTGTTAATCTCACTTTAGAGAAAATGCCCAAGGAAATAACTAAAAAAAATGTCAAAAATTAATGATACTTTTCAATAATAAAAAATAAAAATATTAACCCAAATGACCAAGAGTAAGAAAACTATAATTGAAATGTGTTACATTACTATATAAAACAATTACTGTTGTATGAGCTATATCATTACAGGCAAATCTACAAGTGAAATAATTTAAGATAAAAAGTATACTGACAGACACATGATTAGAAAAGAATCTGAAAAGACATAAGATTTTATCTTTCTTTCCTGTAAGTTGCTCTAATTTTATAACAAAGTTAACAAAGTAATTTTGTAGTAATGCCTTTTAAAGGATCAAAACATTGAATTAAAAGTAACTACTAGAAATCTCCTAATATCTTGGAAATTCCTGAATAGTATAAATTTATAAATATGCACACATGTTTATACTACATATGGGCACGCAAATATTATGTAACTAACGTACAATACACAGTAAAACTTTACTTACATGACCATAAAACACATTTTTCTTATACATTAACCTACATTTATAGTATGTGTTCCAAACATTCCTTTCCAAGTAGAACTATTTTTCTGTTGTAAGAAGTCTTCCTACATTTTTGTTTTTGTGGTGCTGGGGCTAGAATTCAGGGCCTCAGGCATGCTAGGTAAGCATTCTACAACTGAGCTATGCCCTCGCTCTGCTATCAGAAATCTTAAATTTTTACATAGAATAAATCGCTTTCAAGCAGCAGCAGCTTAAACTTCCTTGTCATAGCTCCTTTATCCTGTCTTTTAGGTTAATGGGCAGAGAAACATGAGAATGATCATAACAATCCAGAGACAGAACGTTGGTTTGTCTGTAATGAACCAGACACCTTAGACCCCTGCACTAAGGCCCAGGCCCTGGCGGGTGGTTTTACCACCTGGAAGATGGGTGTGTTGTAAGCAAGGCCTGTGAGTCACGAAGCACACAGATGTTCAGCACAGTTCTAATAACTCTTGTGTTGCCACATATCCTGTGCCTCACTCCTTAGGTGTCAGGCTTCCTCCCTTTCTCTTCTGGGCAGCACACCCATTACCTGCATTTCAAGAAGGTTCTGGGGCCAACACCCTGAGACTGGCTCCTGCCCTGGCAGGGGATGACTAAGCAGCCCTTGGCTAAGCAGAACTGCACTGAGATGCCAAAGAGCTGGTGCCTTGTGTCCCAACTCTGCAACCAAATGGTGTCAGGGTTCTGTAGGTTTCTGCTGATTCCTGCTACGACCTGGACTCTCTTCCTTACCTTGTGCCCTATTCTATATCGTTCCCATTTCCAGGGTTCCTGTTTCCCTGATTTCTGCAGACTGCCTTGTGGATTTCTGCACCCACTTATCAACTGCGTCCACTCTGATGGGTGCCAGGATTCTGTGCTGCGCACAATGCCACCCCCAGGCCCAGTGCTTCTTGTGATTACCTACTATCTCAGACTATCAACCTGACTTCAGATTTCCCATCCACAGCCTCTACGGTAAGTCTCAGAGATTCAGTTCAGAGGAGAAAACAGAACTAGTGAGGCTGGAGGAAAGTAAGAGCAGTAGTAGGTGAGAGAATAAAAGTAAGCAAAATACACTTCCCAGTATTTCCTTTACAAAATCAGTTCATATTGTTAGGTCAAAAACATCATTTAATAAACTCATCAAAGTACAACAGCACATGCCTATAATTCTAGCTACTGGAAAGACCAAGGCAAGAGGATTGTAGGTTTAATGCCAGTCTGGGAAACAAAGAAATACTGTTGCAAAATGAACAAACAAGAATTTTAAGAACTGAGGTCATAGTAGTTGTCTAGCATGCATGAGTCCCTGAGCATAATGTCCAGCACACAAAAAAGCAATGTACCTTAAAATCTTAATTAAGTGAACCAACTGAGATTAGAAACTTAAAATATTTTTCTGATCATAATTAGGCATTTCTCAAACTTTAAAAATACAGGCTTCGCACAGTCTGAACAGTGTTATCCTAAGTATCATAAGGCCAGAACAGCTAAACTGAGCTAACGTCAAAGCTTCCTGACCTATAAACATGAAAATTATTGGGCTGGAAAAAAAGTTAATAAATAGCTTATTTCTTTCATAAGGAGCAGTCAGTTGCTATCCTTGTCCCAATGATGGCCCTACAGTCATATAAAGGCCTAAATTTTAAGCATTCACAAATTCTAAATAGGAAGCTCAAATGCTTTCAGAATGAAAGATCTACATTGTTGAATTGTATCTCAAGATAAAAAGTGATAATAAATGTCATAATAAATGTCTCTCAAATTTACTTTGACTCCACCTTAATATTGATTGCTCTGTCTCATCTGCAAACCTTTATTAACAGGTGATTATTAACATTTCTTTGCTTAGAATCTAGTTACTTCAAGAAAGTCACAAGAGTAAAACTCATACTTCTAAATCCTCTGGAATTTTAATCTAAAGGATCACTGTGAAAAAAACCAGTAGCAAAGCAATACTTTAAGTCACACAAAAGGCCATAATTTAACTGTTCTAAGCCAAATTGCACTTAATGTACCAAATACCTATAACAAAAACATGTTTACATCCAGCACTGCTTAACAGCTGTGCCTTTTTTAATTTGAGGTATTCCTTAAATACCAGTTTAGATTAGATAACCTTTTAGATTAAGGTAACAGCCTTATAGTCCGTGCTCACTTGTACCAGTTGTTAAGACCAACTCCAGTCTTGAGCTCCAGAGACTTGTCTAAGTTGAGGATAAAACAGAA